TGAAGGAAATTATTTTTTAAGGGGGTGATGGAATGAGAAGTTTTGGACCTGGATAGAAGACCCATGGGTAGTAACCAGAGCTAGTAGATATATCAAATTAGTAATTCTATGTTTTCAATAATTGTAAAATCGCAAATATTCCACTTTTCTCAGAACCATGTCTAAATAAAAGTTGAAAGAACATATCATTTGCATGTAACACTTGTCTAGGTATTTTAGAAACAAACTGTGTACATGCTAAATGCAGTAAATCATTTCATCATTCTGGTGTTCTCTATTGGTGTCTAATGTGTGTTAAGCAGTAGAGAAACGGTGGGTAATTGGCACAGTCCCACTGAAGCTACACCTTGGTGCTTTCAGTCCACGATAGTGTGTGCTGATAACAGAGAAGTAAGTCAAGAAACAGAAATAGAACACAGAGTGATTCTTTTGAATTTACTCACATGAGTGACAATAGGAATGGTGCTTTCTAATTGCAAACTTAAAGCGCATGCATCAGCTACAAACTCCCTGTACTAAGCCCATGAATTCAGGGATACTGCTCGTATCAAAATAAAAGCTAAAAGCACGGGCACCGTGTACATAAAACAAGTGAGCTTTACATCCAAGCGATTCAGTTCATGCAAAACCTCACTTAGTTTATTTCTGCAAGCTTTGGTCACACCCTCTTTGGCAAAGGAAAGTGACTGAAAACACACTGAAGCAGAGAATAATTAACTTCCTGTTGAAATATTGGGATTTTCCAATAGAGGAAATAAATGTTCAAAGGCAATTTTAACTCCATAAGAAATAATATTTGGGGAGGGGAGATATAAGAGTCAAATAGTGTGCAATAATAAAATTAGTCATTTGTTTTTCTGTAAGTCTAAAAGAAAAAAATAGCATTAAAAACATATGATTTCACATATATATGGCTAATGATTGAGTCTTATCAGCTAGGTATTACATGTGTGCACAAATAAATCCATGTTACAGAAGATCATTGCCTTCACTGAATCAGTCACTTAATAAAAATCACATTAAAATTAGAGAAGCAATATTAAAACCATGTCTTTTTTTACAAGTTTTCCCCTAGTTTTATTTTGATCTGGGTAGTAAATATGTTTGAGTGCTTCAAATTCTTCTTTAAAAAGTCTATTGGATGGATTATCTTTGGAAAAGGGACTGCTTTTTTCTTTTTTCTTTTATCCCCTGCTATCAGAGGGGTTTCCTCAGTGTCGTATCTTTAAAAGAAAGAAATTAGGAAATCTGGCTCCAGGTCCTGGCTTTGTCTCTTTGGAGGTCCCTCTCTCATTTAAAAATGGAGAACTCTGAATTATTTTATCTCCCAAGTCTTTCCCAGTTCTAAAAATGATCTCAACGACTTACAGATATTTGAACAGTTTAAAGAAAAACTTGAATCACAATGAAAGAAGCTGTCATTGTGTCCATATGGAAAAACAGAAGAAAACTTGCAAACAGTTGCTGCTCATTACAGCTGATATGCTATAAATGGTTGTTGACACTGAGACCAGATGTCATGGAAAATCCTGTATCATTAGGAAGCAATGGGGTGGGGAAGGACCCTATGTGTGAGAATGTCAGTGGCATCTATTTAAAAACCAACTAAAAATCGATTGTGCTGTGAGAATTTAGAGATAATAGATGAAGACTAACAAACTAGACTGCATTTAAGTTAAGAATACAGAATCTCTCAAGTTATGAACATTTATTGCAGATATTAAATATTCTACTTATTGCAGATATTGAAGACTCTGCACATTGAAATGGCCAGCTACTCTGCAGTGTAATAGCTAATCGCTAATGTGTATGTTGTCCCTACCGAGGACAGAGCTTCCCTGGAGTCTTAAAGGATATAATTTAATCTTATTCATTTGAAAGATGAAGGAACTAATTAATTAGCTCAAAAGGTCTGTGAGTTGCCCAAGTCACATATTTCATAACAGCTATGGCTAGGACATGACCCAGATCCTTTCTAGACTATCATGTTGCCTGTTTCTCATAAGGCTATGCCCCATCGTCATCTGTAGCTGTGTTAGACCTGTGTTTCTGATCTCACTCGACTTACTTGTCTTGGAAAATTATAGTGGAATCATAGCACATAAATGTGTAGGGGTGATCCTTTCTCAGGAAGCAACCACTGATTTAGCTGAGAGATTCTCTACTCTTTCAGCTTTGGTGGGATATAACTACAAGTTATATTCCTTTCTTTACCATTTATAATTTGAATTGATATACCTACCAATAAATTTTCCTAGCACAATGTTTTAAGTTGGAGCTATATGAACAGTCATTATTCAAAAAAAATCAGAATAAATACACCTGTCCTGGTTAAAATTTTGCTACAGAAACTCTTGGTGATTAAGCCTCTCACATACAACATGATAACAGGATTATTCAAACAGATATGTTCCAAAGAGTTTCACAGAAATCAAACTTGTATGATATTCTTAATGTTTCATTGGAGCTGGCCATTTAAAGCAACTTGTGATAAAACATTAAAAAGAAAATAACCCTTTAATAAAGTCAGTAAACATCCTAATTTTTCAGTTTGCAGTCTACAATTCTGTTTTTAGGTTTGCTTAGAAGACATAAATAAATGTGAAGTCATTTCAGTGCTTTTAATTTTTAAATATATACAGTCACTTAAAATAGCCCTGCCTTTTCCTGTACATAACTGCAGCTGAACAGTCTTCATGGGTATAAGGTGAAACACTGATCCAGATGCATTTATTATTTTCCTGGATGACTCACAAGGCCCTACAGTGAGGTCCTCTAGGTCATCTGTAGTTATGAATATTTGCCCCAGTCATTCAGAGGTCATGCATGATAAAACCCTAAGGCATTCCATTTCTTCTGAACGGGCAGATACTTGGTGTCTAAGGGCAAAATGCACACAGCACTGCCCAGAGCCTTTCAATTTAGTGATGAGTAAAAAGCACATTACATTTTTTCAAAGTTTATTCGCTAATGACACTGGCATTTGCTGAGCAAATTTTAATACCAATTGACTTAAAAGTCCTTAAATGACTGTGATTTCTAAAGTGTTTGGAACTCTCTTCTTGAATGAGTTTATTGTTGACAGATTAGGACAGATGCATATTAGCAGAGATCTCTGGCATCTCGATGCATTTGAATGTGAAGGTCACTAAGAAATAGAATCAACTATCACAGTTTGACATGGTTTTTCCAGTCAAAATTTAGTCATTCCATAAATTAATAGTTGGAAATTACTTAAATTACAAAGTGCATGAATGTAGTAGGCTACAGATTTTAGTTGTGAAAATAAAGTGTCAAATGTGAATCAATTCACATTATTGATACTACAGTATATTGATAGATAGCCAGAGTTCCAAATAATTTCAGATGTTTAGTTTTACTAAAAGTTATTTCAGCATGGAGATCTTTCATAATCTTGAGTCATCTTCATCCCCATACTCCAAATTAAATTATATATTTAGTGTTGAGGTAATACAAACACCCTGTCAGACCTTTAAAAAGTTGTACAAGTTTCCTCACATTTACAACAATTGTCATGATAGTGACGAATCTGATGGCAGTGAGCAGCAGTAGCCTGAAGAAGTCTGGTACATGATTAAAACTTACTTGCCCACACTGATTTCTTGTAGACTTAATCTAATTTCTTCCCATTCTGATTATGGGTCTTTGCTAATTTGCATGGCTGGCTTAATTAATCAGTTAATTACTGGTTTAGGCTGTGTTTACACAAGGTCAAAACAACTAACAGAATTGACTACTTCATTAAGATAAAGAACCAATTTGATGAAAAAATATGACATATACTTGTCAACCTATATACAAAATCTATTTGATTGACTGAAGTTTTTTCAGACAGTTGTTTTGACACTTGTAGAATCCATTGTTTCCCAATTTTTTCGGTCTGAGATACAACTCTAATTCACTGGTTCTTTTCCTAACATAGGAAGACTTTGAACCTTTCTCTCAAATATATTTACGCCAGTCCAGTCATTTACTAATTGAAATAGCTGGGGCTGTATAAACTTTGCTGTATATCTAAATCAGCCTCCTTTTCCTGACCATGTTCTCCCTTCAAATTTTCAAACTCACAAAGGGGGTTCAAGAAAATTGAAGACTTTGCCCTGGTACTTATTTTCGAAGTACTAATATTTCTCGACACGCTGATTGGGAAACAGTGGTAGAGACACACCCTGATTCCAAGCCTGAGTTATCAATCCTTGAATAATGATAAATACCCAAGAAAATAAAAATGTGTCTTTCTCATGGTATTCTGAGATGGGAAAATAGATATATACGTAATGCTTTGAATCACACTTTGAAGAAATGTAAATTATGTTTTACAATACTGGCTGATAAAGGAAAAAAGCTAACTATAACATTTGGCAAATAGTAGTATATGCTTTCTGCCTTTAAGAATAAACAGATTCTTAAAGTCAGCAATTTAAATACATAATTCAGAGGGAGTCTCCAAAATCTGTACAGAAATTGTTTGGAAACACTGAGGAATCAAAATCACTACATTCGGGTCCAAATTCTTGAAGTCAGCTAGGATTTAATTTGCACCATTTCATTTGCCAAATGTCTGTAGATTGGTCCAACTCTCGTTATAATTTTGCCAAGTTTCCTTCTGCCGAAAATATCTGTGCTCTGTTCGGCTTCAGAGTAAATGTCCATGGCCAAGTCTGGACCTCGAATAGTCCTTGGACACATGTGAGCAGGTCATGAAGGGTGCTGTCATTCATCTGATCTGCCCCCAAGTGTATTCTCTCTTCCATCCAGTTTCTCTCTGGTACATTTATGTATCTGCCTGAAGCCTACACACATGATAATTTTTTTTATCATTTTCTAACCATATTTTCCCTGTGATTTAGGAATGGCAGTCTCCAGGAGAACGACAATGCATGACTATTTTTTTTAACCTAATCTGGAAAAATGTTAGTTTTAAATAGTCACTTAAAATGGTTTCTCACGTCAGTCTCTTTTTTCCTTCCTAAACAAAGCCTGAGAATTTGCTTTTAGCTAGCAAATCCAAGGGAGCAGCTGTGAAACTGGCAGACTTTGGCTTGGCCATAGAAGTTCAAGGAGACCAGCAGGCATGGTTTGGTAAGTAGGACCTCTTTCTCCTTTGGGCTGCTCGTATTTTCTGGTTCATGACTTGTGGCTCCTAACTCCACAGTCTAGCCAAAGTAAAATGATAATGTTCATCCTCACAATGCCATGACTAATTTGAAGATTTTGGACCTATACAAGCACTTAATTTTTTACTGACATTAAAGGGTATATCATTTAGAAATAAGGTAAGGAAACATATTCATGGCAAGTAGAATACATATACTTTTTCTTCTTAAAGAATGGGTGAAAAAATAGATCCTGTAATAAGTTTTAATAGGAAGACTACAATATTCAGAGTACCATTTTTATCTAAAAGAAAGTTGATTGTTTACCTATGACTTCACCAGATGCTTAAAACTGCTACGTAAATTGTAGGTACCCCAGAAATAAAAAATATTTATATATTTTGCATTTAGTGAATTAAATATTTTTTTAAATATTAGAAAGCATCTATGCAGGTGTTTCATCTTAATTATTTTCTTTCTTCAGTGTGTCAATTTTCCATCTAAAATTCTAATATTTTAAAATTTATGTATGATGAAATTTCTGTTTCTTTACAATGAGGAAAAGATTAATTCTAAATCAATTTAAATGATAATATTTCTAACTAGGCTTCTGGATTCTTTCAATATTTATCCTCAATAAATTATTTTACCTGTTCATTTCATTATACTTCCCTCTCTACCATTTCCCACTATTAAATTTTTTTCATGCAGAGTTCTAAAATATCACCTCTCCCCAAGGCTCATTCTTCTTTCTTTTCTGACTTCCAAATGTTGAGGTGAGAGGCATTTTAAAATGCCCTTCAATTCTGATTTTATTTCCTCTGAACAGCAACAAACAGAAAGAGGATCAAAAAGTGCTTAGTGATTTTGTTTTCTGTGCAAATGCTCCTCTATGTCCCCAGTGCACACATCGCCTAAATGCACAGGTAGTTCCCGCAGTTCCCGTTTCTGTAATCTGCCCCAAGCTCATTAGTGAGAGTAGATGGCATGGCAGCCTTCCCCCATCTCCTTTACTGGCCGGCTAATTCAGGACCTTGTTTTCTGCTGCCTGTCCTATTTCAGTAGACCTGACCGTTACCCGTGTCTGAAATCCCTTCTAAGTTTCATTCCACCTTTTACATTAGGTATCTCCTTACCCTTCTGCCGACCCCCCTGATCAATTTAGTACCTCCAAACTTGACTTGGTTTGTCATAGTTTGCTATCTGAATAGGCGTACTCTAGTTAAGTTAACGGCAAACTAATAGAAGGAAGGACTGGGACCAGCAGGTGGCATGTGGTTAAGGGTGCTGAACTCCCACATGACTAACTGAGGTTTAAGTCCCAAACCTGGCAGCTTTGTTTCTCACTTTCTTTTCCTCTCGCTCACTCTGCCCCTCTCTGGTCAAATTAAAATAAATAAATAAAGTTAAATAATTATTTAAAATAAAATAATTATTTTTTAAAAAAGGAGAAAGAACCTAGAATTCTAAATATAAATTGGAGATCAGGTGTATCTCTATGAAAAAAAGAGTACGGTTTACAGAGAAAAAGGATATATAATAACAAGAGTTAGGGGTTTGACAGGAAGTAGCGGAGCCATCACAGAGATGGGCAGAGCAAATTACCAGAGAGATATAAATTAAACAGGAGGGTCTAGGGGCCAGCAGTTGGCATAATGGCTATATCACTGGACTCCCATGTAGCCGACCACATTTCCAGTTCTGGACCTGGTGGCATAAACTCATGCCAGGCATATGTGTGTGCATGCCCAAGATCCCGAGAGGAGAATGGAGGCGAAGGGATTGCCACATGGCCATCCCCCAGGGGATGATTTCTTGCTTTCTGTCTCTCTGTCTCTCTGTCTTTTTGGTGAGCGCACAAGCCCTATATCAAAAACCTCTCCAAGAAAAAAAAATAAATAAATAGGAGGGTCTGACCCTCAAGGTGCTGAGTTTCCCAAGTCAGTAGCTGTTTACCATGTAGGATGGCCATACCTTAACATAAGCATACATGAGGTGCTCTAGGAACACTAGAGGTGGGGGGCAGAATTCTACTTCTGGGGTAAGTTTCAGTAATTATACTAACACCCGTGGTTGCCTAAGTGAGGAATAGGAGTTTGCCCACTGACCTGCAAGGAGATAAAGGTATTCAGACACAGGGATCAGAATATGCAAAAGCTCAGAGGCATGAAACTATCGAATAGTTTAGAAATAAGCAGTTTGATAGAGCTAAAGTATAAATATGTATACTTATACTGGAATGGGTATAATGGTCGTTAATGAGGTGGGGAAGGATCTTGTGTCCTTAAGAAAGGTTTGTGTTTTATCTTAGAGGGCTTGGGGATCTGGTAAGAGGAATTTTAGTGGAGAGGGCTATGATTGGATTTATGTTATATAAAAATGATTTCAGTTGTAGGTAGAGGATATTTAACCTGAAAACAAGGACTCAGGCTAATGCCGTCATTCAAATTACGCATATGATAGCTAGCACTAGAGAGTATACAGAGGCGAGCAGATTGTAGGTAACACACAGTGGAGACAGGTGCTCAGAACTCCAAGGGAATGCGTGGAGAAGAAATGGAAGTCCCAGGTACTGGGTTCAAAGATAGGTCCCTAGACCTGTCTAGAGCAAAGCAGGACCCCACTTCACTAGAGACTTGAGGTTCCAGACACGGTACCAAGCTCAAGACTTAGGACTAGGAAGGTAATGGCAGAACTGGGTACAAAGAGTGGACTGAATATTCAGGAACAAGACAGAACACTGTTATCAGAGCGGAGGCTCAAAGTTAACAACAGCAACCTGGCCTGGTGGCAACAAGTATTGGAATCCAGCTCTTGAACTCTCTCCAGTTTTTCTGAGGGCTGTTTTATTTCTTCTATTTGATCCCATAAAGTACAAAAGGGCAGGAATGCGTGTAGTGGGGGAAAAAAATCTATTTTTTGACTCAGAATACCTGAATTTATATCCTGAATCTGGTTCTTCACAGTTGTATGACAGTCGCCTTAACTCCGTGAGGTCACTTAGTAAATGTGGTCAATAAACACTCCTTTACGGCGCTGTTATGAGGCTAAGTGAAATAGTCCATAGAAACCTAACTGGGCTATAAAAGATATTTGGTAAGGTTTCAAAAATATCCCGGGGCAAAACACAGTGTCACAGTTATTTGCCTATTTGATGAAAGTTGTTTAGCGGGTAAGACTGAATATTGGTAAAAGTAGTAACATCCAAATATAAATTTTCAGATTATGAGAATTCATATCTAAAGGCAAACTGGTTCCAGCGAAACAATGATTAAAAGTGAAATTTCCACTTTTTCATCCCTATGGTGCTAGAAATAGTTAAGATCTTGTTAAGGTACCTGTTAGAGTAATAACTTTTACTTTGAAAAGAATATCTTAAGTTTTAAGGAAATCAAACATTTTAAGAATATAGAAAAATATAGTTTCTAAACCTAAGAGAATATACATTTCTTCTTTTTTTTTTTCTTTTTCTTTTCTCAAGTTTAAGTTATCTTCATTGTAACCTGAGTAAAATGGAGATTTGGTATACTGCAATTTGGGAGGTGGGGGAGGAGGGTATACTGCCAGATATATTTTAGGTATTAGGGGTAAAGGTGTGTTTTAAGGTAAATAATCTGTTTTGATATTTATTCATTATCTGCCATATGAGTCTCACATACTGACTAATTTTATCTTTTAAAATATAATAGCGATATCTAGGGAGGGAATGTCTGTAATTTAAGTAAGAAAAATAGTGCTCTTTCTTCATTATATGTAATTCCAGAACTAACGCTATAAGCTTTTATATAATTGTATTTTAATAAATATGTGAGGTCTACTACAAATAAGAAATATGTTAATTTTACACACAAAACAATATAATACAAACTATTGCAGAGTATTTGTCTTTTTTATTTTCATTTTCAAGTTTAAATATTTTGCTTTCCCTCATCTTCACTTCTCACTTCCAAGTCCTGATTTATTTGAATACTAGTCAAAAATCGCTGAAGTAATATCCCACGTCGCTGCACTTGGTAAGATGGCCAGGAAATCTGCTAGAGAGAAATATTCAGGTACAACCTGTTTCTCCTGTGGATCTAGAAATTCTATGTGTGACACATTTTCAGCATTTTGATATGTGTGGAAAATAAAAAAGAAGAAGAAGAAGATAATTACCCCAGTCTTGCTTCATGGTAGAATTACTCTGCTTTGTTGCTATGTCTATATTTTTCCCAAATATTAAGGGTATTTTTAAATGAAAATATGAAGCAATGGATATATTTACAACATTAAGCAACTCTGTTTCCTCTTTATTTTATCTGTTTTGATATTCCTATTGTTTTTTCAGAATACGAGACATGCTAACTTTAAAGAAGGCAAACTGTCAGTCATTTCCTGGTTGTAGCAAATATCGTCATGAGAATCCTAGATTCTTATGAGTTCAATCTCCCACCCAAGAAGGCTTTCTCTTCCCCCCTACACATAGCATTTCTGTATTCATGAGGTCACATTGTTGATTTCTATGCATTAGATGTACACTTCAACATTCTCAGGGGTAAGACTCTCACTCCCTGCTCAAATGATGGGCATACTGAGTAAGAATGAGCATGATGGTATTCTCTCAGCATTTTAGTCTCCAGAAGAGATTTGTAGTAATTTACATTTAGAACTATCTTTTTATCTCTTACTCACCAAAAGACTTACTTCCCTGTATTCCTTAGGGAAAGTATTGATAATATTTCCTGCTCCTAGCTATATATTCTAAATTATTTAAGACATACATTAAAGTTCACTAATTTTAGATAGGATAGTACAGATTATAAATAAAAGAATACTTGATAAAGGATCGCTGAGAACCTTAGGCAGCTAAGAGCTCTAAAATAGAAACAATTCAAAGCCACCCTCTGTTAGAGGAAAGGTGTAGGGGAAAAAAAAATGAGGATCAAGGAACAGAAAAAAATAGCATAACAGGTAAGAATGAAAAAGTCCGTTTTCAAGAGACGTCAAAGAGATTAGGCAGGTCAAATGCTCAGGAGAACAAAATCCTGTTTGACAAATGAAGGAGGACTAGGTGACAATAGATCTGTTAAGGGCAAGCTGAGGACATCGGATTTAATCAGGACTTTTGGCAACGGTTTCTTATCGGATTCTCTGTTTCTCCACTTGGGAGGAATGAAAGAAAGACAGTGGGGATGGAGAGGGCAGACATGGTAAACCGGAAGCACAGGGATGCTTTGTAAAAGTTATGCGAATCCTGACTTTGGCATTGACGAACTCCTCATCCCTCCTCAGGTGATCCTCGGACCTCAGGCAGTGGGACCTCCACTGCTCCTCAGTGGTTCTTTTCACCTCACAACCATCAATGAAACATTTCTTTCAAGTAATGCTTGAGGTAGAGGTGGATTTGCAATAGTTCATTTAAAGCTTAAAAGTATAACATGAAGTTGTTTTTTGGAGTCTGTTCTCATTGTTTATCCCACTTTCTCTGAAACAAAGCAGGGAAAAATGGAAAAAAGAAAAAAACACTAAATCCAAAATTCTTTGACCCATTTTCTAATACAATTCTTTCCAGAGAAGTAACCATGTCTCTGTATACTTATTTTCATAACTTTTAGTCTATTTTTTATATTTAATATACATAAATATGCCACAGAAATGGAAAAAAAGGTTCATTTTTAGGGCACTTGGCAGTGTACTTTATTAGTGATTTGTCGTTGGAGGAATTTCTGATTACATATCCTTGTAATGAGGTTTTTTGCATAAATTTTTATTTGTGCTTTTTTC